TTATTTCTTATGTGTTGTAGGGCTGGGTATCGTTTAAAAAAATTATGATACCAGTATCCTTAAAGTGATACAGATACCGATAGACCAATGTACCTTACTGATAGTGACAGCTGAAGAGTGACAGGAAAGTGGGGGGACAGAGGGCCACAGGTTGGATTCAAACTCATGGCCACTGCACAAAGACTCAGCCCTGGTACATGGGGCGCCAGCTCTACCAGGCGAGGTACCAGGGCGTCCCATCCTTCTGCATTTTATGCAATTAGTTAGACGCCAAAAGCAAATTGGCAAGAAATTTTCAAGAGACTACTTTTTACTTTCATACTTTGAGTACATTTCAGCGCCTGTACATTTTCACTTTTACTTGAGTAAAGAAGTTGAATCAGTACTTCTGCTTTTAGAGTCTTCTCTTTACTTCTACTTGAGTGAAGAGTGTGTGTCAGGTATCAAGAGGATCAAATGCAGGTATTGTTTCAATGTAGAAGTTTTTTACTACTTGGTTCTAGGTTATTTCGGTTGACACCTTAAAGATATTGAGTACCAGCACAGCCCACAAAATACTGAGAAAATAGTGATTACGTTTTTAAATTGTTTTGCTCAACCAACCGTGCAAAACCCCAAAATATTGAGTTTATGTGACATCAAATTGTCACATTGGAGCAGCTGAAACCAAAAAATGCCAGGTATTTTTTTGTCAAGAAAATTCTGAAACAATTAACTATCAAAATGGTTGCAGATCAATTTTTTTGTCAATGGTCTAATCGATTGATCCTTAAAGCTCTACAATAGAGTATCACGCTTCTGGCAGTGGCAGTTATTTATTACTATTTAAATAAAATACAAAAATGGACGACATTTTTGGGTAGAGCTCGATAGTTCACTCTTGTCTTTGTAAACAGCCAAACAATATCTACTCGAGGTCTGCTTATCGGGTTGCTCAGTAGGTATTCTGGGAGGTATTCCACTGGGCCTTCAAGGAACACGTCCAAAGCCTGTGACCCAAGAAGAGCTCTACCCAGAATGCTAAAACAGCTAAAGAAATTTCCAGTGGATCTTCTGTGTTCACATTCAGACTCAAGAGAAGAGTTTCTCGAGTTTCTGAGAAGATTTCGGTTACATTTAAGATTTTGGGAAAGTTGTAGGAGGCTTGTGTTTCTTCTTTGAACATTGTTGTTCTTGCCAAAATCCACTTTTCCCTAACGTCTACAACAAAGGTGGTAAAAATAAGAGAAAAAAACTTTGAATGAATTGAAGTGTATGCCTAAATTAGCCTCAGATGACTGACCTCAGTGTTAAGCACACAAACAGGTCCTCACTAGAACAGCACAAACACTGTGGCTCATATCTCATCTGCCTTTGTAGTTTTGTTTTTATCTTCACCTTTTTTATCTATAGCTAAATCTCTGAGTGATGAGCTTGTTCAAAAGTTAAAAAAATAAATGTATATTGGACTCCACACACACACATTCATGTTTCTGTGTGTGGATTGCGAACAGGAAGGCAGGGCTGTTCAGAAAGCACAAAGGGCCCAGCTGTGTGGGAAGTGATTGCTAAAATTGCATCATGGCAGCCTCTCCATCATTCACAGAACACATGACTGCTTTTCCTTTCCCTCTGTTTTGTGAAGGAGATGTAGGGAGGGAAAAAAGCTTGAGTATAAAATGGATGTGTCCTTATTTGAATTCTCACCTTCGCTGCCATCGTTGCTCACCCTCTTGTCTCATTTATTCTTTGTTCTGTAAGCTCTCCATCATCCTGCTGATTTTTTTTCTCCCCATTTACTCACTGTGGCTGTCATTTTCTCTTTCTCTCTTTGTTGTACGGTGATTAGGAGGCTTCCTCCTAATGATGTCTTCGGATTAAATATTGTCTGCACACTGCTGCACGGAGGGCTTCTGGCAGCACCAATGTGACATGGAGGCAAAAAAAAAATAAAAAATGCAGACTGCAGCCATTTCAAAACCACATAGTCATACCTTAATCTGAATTTAACCACCAGGCAGACCACATGCAAGTATGTCTCTTCTTCCTCCCCCGAATGCCTCCATACTCAGGTCTCAATTACAGTTTGATCCAAAACTGCTTTCATGACAAGTTAAAGCAGAAGTGTGCTTCAAACAGTTCTGATGAGCTGTGTAATGAACTCTTTGCGATCATGTAGTATTGAAATGCTTGATATCATACTTGATCTGTTGAGACAGAGCAGTCTTGTTTGGCCCCATAGTTTCTGTTGGTTATGATCCCAGTGTAATTACCAAGATCTGGGAACACAACGGGTCTAATGCAAGAAGCACTCATATGAACTGCCTCAAAAAGTCGAAAAGCTTAGGAAACACTGCTGGAAACTGCTTTATCAACAAGCTGTGTGATTATCTGATTGCTTGTGTTCCTTCCTCGCATAGCCAGACCAATCTCCACAGCCCTGAGTCTGGCTGAGAAAGGTCTGACTGCACCCATTATCATTCTGGTAGAGGTGAAAAACTGCTCTGGCTTGTACAATCTTGGGCAGCACTAAGCCCAGGAGGTGGGGGGGCTTGTTTTGGTGGAAGATTTGCACTTGGGTTTGTTTTTACCATTGGCGATCAGGTCAGTGTAACTTGACATTTTCAGCATGGAGATTGTTGTTTCCTGTAATGAAGGGGGTTCTGAAAAAAAAAAAAAAGGTAAAAACTACAATAAGATTCTGGTTGTATAAAAATTTAATTTTCCTTTAACACCAGTGTGTTGTTCGTTTTGTTTTTTCGTTTCTCAGCCATGAGAGTCATCCATGCTGCTCACCATTCAGGCCATTTGCTTCCATATGCTCCATTAACTGATCTCTGGTCACTGGTGAGTCCAGGCTTCACAACATCGCTTCAGAAGCTGTTAGGTGACATGCACCATGTTCCTAATGTGAAAATGCCATATCCACAGTTGACTTAAATATACTTCAGTCAACTACTGCAGCTTTAAATAATATCACAGGTGCCCCGTCCCTTCTTTCTGCCTGTGTCTGCATACACTCAGGATGAGAGATCAGGGCTTGTTAAAGGTTTTCTCTTTAAATGAAGCTCCAACAAACGACAACAGTGCACAGTGTTGTTGGAAACACAAGCTCTTGATTGTTGTGATTGAAAGGGCGCAGAGCACTCAAAAAAAAAAAAAAAAAAGGCAAAGACAGAAGATTGTAAGGCTGAGAAAGAAAATGAAATTGGGCTCAATTCTGGACCCTCACTTGACTATTAAAGATTGCTGCTTGAACCTCTCGCTTTTTGGAAAACGATGCGCTCTACCGAATAAAAGCCTGCGGGTGCGCCGCCTTTCAAAACACACAAAAACACACCCACCGATAATCTGCTCCCCTACCACCTCACTGCTGGGTGGAACAGTGAGAGTTAGTAACACTGTCTGTTTGGACAAATGGCCTGAGCGTCTCTGACGTCAGCAACAGCAGATATGGAAAAAGACACCCAGACACACACATTTAAACTTATCTGTGTGTGTATGAGCAACACCTCCCATTGCTTCCACACTCGTTTCACAGCTAGCAACCCCCACCCCCTCCACATGTAGCTCTGAATACATATACATGCTGGGTATCTAGCTCACGGTTATCAAAAGCAAATAAACGTATGACTCCTACTGCACAAATCATTTGTGAGGAGGGGGAGTTATTACATGTGCAGTCTGGACAAATAGTGTCCCTCGAAAGTAAAGAGGGCAACAGTTCAGACAGTAATAAAGATAATTTGCTTACTTTGAAGCGGTGCTGATTCTTTGACCTAAATCTGAAAATTACAGCCCACACTAAAAGCAGCTGTAGAGCAAGGGAGGGTTGTACGAGACCAACACACCGTAAAATACTAATGCTCCGAAAGAAGCACATTAAAGCCTACGAGTAAAAGAACAGCTTGAGCAAGTCGGAACAAACTGAGGGCTTTATTCTTAGATACTTAATTATCTTCATCTGCCCTTTAAGGCTATTTTTCAGAATTCAGAACAGAAAGATAAAGAGGGGAGCTTATCATCTGATTCATGACCTGTGGGGTTTTTCTTTTTATCGCATTTATTTATTTGCCCTGTTTGTGGAGAGTTCTCAGTGTGTCCCTACAGAAAAAGACAACTAATGCTATAAAATGACAGTTCCCCAGAAGATGGCCTGATATTTTTAGTTCTCAACCTTTCCTCTAATTCAATCACCAGATAAATAGTCATATGACCTCAGATCAGACACCATAAAAACTGTCATTTTTTATGTGAACAACGCCATGAATGTCTTGAGGAGACTGTGTGAAAATGTGCATCTTTATCTCCATATTTAAACACGTTTCCCCTCCTCTCTATCACAAACTTTATAACGTAAATAGCTGCTGCAACGCAGCCTGCTGGCTCTAGGAGGGGTGAATGCGAATATTTATTTTTACCATATAATCTAGTATGGTGGATGAACCCCGTCAAACGTGGATGGTGGTTTATGGCTTTCCTTGAAGAAATGTCAATACTTCTTTACTTGTGCCCACACAGAACAGCAACTCAGGAACTGTCCACCTCCAGTACAAGCCAACTGGGGCGATCGCTGTCAACAGCTTTCAAGCTTGTTTTCCCCACTTCTACTCAGTAAGTGCAAACAACAAAGCCACTTCTTGAAGCCCAAGTACCTGAATGCAAATGTATGTCTTTGTGATTGTGTAGGTGATGCAGGTGATTGATATGTTGCCTAATTTCTGTACACTGTGTGAGTTATTAATGTTGGCTTTCAGAGTGTTGCAATGTGGGAATTATCTATTTTTGCATCACAAATTAAATTTTCACTTAAAAAAAAAAAAACAACTTTAAAATCATGATGTTATGAATCTTTTACTGTTTTGTCACACATTTTACCTTTATCAAAAAAAGAGCTTCTGTGATGGGCATATTGCACTTGGTCTCGTATTCTTGGAGCCTGAAGTCACATCTTTAAAATGTTAATTTTCTTTAACCAGCAGTAAATAAAACAGCAGATCTCCATATTTAAGGAAATGTTTTGTATTTTTAATTGGTAACTGATACAACCTAACAGGTATGAAAAAGGAGAATAAACGTGATGTATGACAGAAAAGTGGGTAATAGGTTTTACAAAAAGAGTGAATATATTCAGTAAATATACAATTTCAGAAAAGAAAAATCAGGAATGATACAAACTTTTTTTTTAAACTCAGACAGCTTTAACAAAATTAGAGTGTACAAAAGAAAAATACTCCATCTAGAACACAATATAATGACCTATAGAGAGCTCAGCATCCACCAGTCCTAAAGGCATTTCTTTCAGCAGTCAGATAAAACACTGAACACAGGTAGACAGTAGAACCATTGGTCATATTAGTCTGCATTATCTAGCGTGTTGTTCCTTTTCTTAAATTTGTTTGAGTAAAGAGATAAAGTGCAGTAAGAGTACGAGTATATCTGACTTATCTGAACAGTATCACACGTAGTGTCGAAAAAGGAGTTGCTTAAAACAATGTGAGACATTTTCAATGCTCGATTAGCAGCTTTGAGATCACTTCCAGAAAACAAACCAGTAAATTGGCGGTTCAGTAGAAGAGAAGAAAAGATGTTTCTGTTGCATCTGACTTTCAAAAACAGGATAACAATGCAGAGTTTTGAAAAAGAACTAAATGTTTGTTGGAGTGTACTCATTATCTAAAAAACAAAAACAACTCCAGCACAGCCCAGAAAATTCAATAAAAAATTGCACATAAAAAAACACAACATATGTTGACTATAAACTGTACTAAAAAGATATACAAAGTGTGCTTACTATTTCTATATATATGCAGTGACTATGGAGCTATTTGATGGTAAATGTGGACAAAATAGCATCACTGAAGAAACAGAAAAGAGAAATCAATACTTTTTACCTGCCAAACGTTAATTAAATTAAATTATGTATTATTTCAATATTTTGGAAAACATGCTGATCTGCTCTATTGCTGAGACTTTGATGATAAGAGTGATACCACTCATGTCTGTGCATTAAGACTGGGAGCAGGTGGAAACCACTAGCCTGGCTCGGATGCTGCATGGAGGTACATGGAGGGAAGGATAAACTGTTAACTGAAATAGTGCCACTAAAACCACAAACAGTTGTTACTTTTCTGTTTGCATGTAGATGAAAGAAACAAAAATACATGTTAGTGAGCTTTAGAGGTGTTGGCAGGTACAACAACAGGCAAGCTGATTCCCCCTGCTTCCAGTCTTTATGCTAACTCTCAGCAGAAAGGAAAATAAGCACACCATCCTAAATCTTGAAGTATTACTTTAACTACCACCTTGTCACGTAACCAGTATACAAGTGACTTTGTAAAAAAACTATTTGAATAATTAAATATTTAGTTTGATTTCAAATTAAATAAGATTACTTTAGAGGGCATATGTCTATGTTCTGGGACTAGAAAAAGGTTTAGTGCTTATAAGCATTATAAGGCTAATTATTTAGCCATCCTGGAGCGAAGGCGTCTCTTAATGATCTGATGGTCACTGTCTTTCTCCTCGGGCTCTCTGCTGATAATCTAAAACACAAGAAAGAACCAATTGTTAAAAAATGTGTATAACTGTAGAGTTGTTGTTTGAAGGGCAGATACTATCTTAATAGATCAGAAAATTGATTGATTTGGTAGATCGACCAATGCCACGAACCGATCCCAGTGCTTATCAGGTCATACATTCATGTTATTAAAATGGAATAATTACGCAATTAAGTGCATCAATTTTATTTTTATACTTGCAATTAAGTGACACAACTGAAAAGGGTTAGTTCACAAAAAATAATTCCCCACTGACTCCTGATGTTAAATACTTTAGAGATATCCACCATCCAACCGGTAAGACCCACTGAACAGTGCAGCTTGAGGTTTAGTTTGGCCCCTTTAATTTTCTATGGGATGTCAGTGAATCACTTCTCAAGGTGGCATAAGATAGACAAGGAGTGGGAGAAAGAAATGTAAAGTAGAAAAATGGTTATATTATGCAAACGAGAGAAACATTTGCAGCTCCACGGTGACACAAAAAGTAAGTCAAGAGCCATGGTGTTTAGTCTTTACCAGGTGTGGGTGGATTGTAGTTTCTGGGATTCCTCTTTTGTGTGTGTTTTTTTGTTTTACAGATAGAAGCAAAAAATGTATTAAATAACAAAACCAACTTGCTGTCAGGTTTCATTTAGACCATTCCTTCGGTAGGAAATAGTATCAATTAAAACTGTCCAGAGTGAGATACTACTACTGCTCAATGGCAAATATAGTTCTGAGTCATTTGGTTGAACTGCACTTTATAGCTATCTGACAGCTGTTACTGCTTGTTCTGGGACTGGAAGTATATATCAGTAAGTGTTCCAGAAATCCATTTGCTAATACCATCTACTGGCAATAAGGATATGGATGTATAAGGGATATTTTTATGAGAAATTGTTTACTTTTAGTTATTCTTGATTGGGGCTTGACATCTTTTTAAAATGTTTTTTGAAAGGATGTGTAAATACAATAATGTGTAATAATGCGTTTGGTATCAATACCTTATATCGAGGATGATAAACATACCCCTTTAAGCCCCATATAGCAAAATTAGTGACTTCTTAATGTTAAATACACAAGCAGTCACATACTATTGACAAAAGTTTGATTTAAATCAGCAACTATCTTGTTTTCCATTCTCTGCTATAGACCTGTTGTCTGCAACAAAAAATGCATTGAGTTCAATACCCAGCTGAAGGGTCACCATGTGTGCATGTACTATAATACCTGTAGGTGTCAGTATAATGAGCTTATGAATAATGACACTGTGACGACACTTACTGGGTGTGAGGGCATGTCCATGGGGGAGGAGATTTCAGGCCTATAGAGTTTCCTTTTGTTCTTCTTGGCTCTCAGACTGAGGGATGAAGAGGAGGAAGAGGAGGGTGCTGAGTCTGCATCACCCCGACCGCTCACCAGACTCATCATCTTCTTGGCTGCAGAGACGGAGACAGTTTTTAGACAAGATGGAACATGCTGACTAGATACTTTAGATGCTTAACTTGAGCCAGTGAGCTGTCTAATGTTAAATCTGCTCTGTGTGTACATTTTACCATGACTGAATAAATCATTGCAACACTAGATTTAGCTATAGATAGATAGCTTTAGTATAACTACTGTCAACAAGTCCCTGAGTAGAGTCACTTGTTAGCAGGATACATTCACTGTTAGTTTTGGTCTTTTCAGGGGAATTGGTTTGATCCTTTAACCAATGACGTTCATCTTAAATCTGTAAAGTCAACAATGTCATGATTGCAATTTACTGTTCATGTTTAAAAAAAAAAAAAGAAGAAAAAAGAGAAACAATCAGGGAAGACAGCAGCGTATAGGAAAGATGGGACAGGAGGAGGGGGAAAGTAAAAGAATATGAGCAATAAAAGGGATACGAAAGGAGGGGAAAAACACAGACCAGGAACAGTTGAGGGACAGACGGGATGAGCGATGGAGAGAAAGGAAAAAAAAAAAGAAAAAAAAGACAGGGTGTTGTAGGAAGTAAAAATCAACAACAGATACAAGTGAATGATGAAGGGATCGACGGACAGGAGGGAGGAGCAGAGAGAGAGAGAGGAGAGAAGAAGAGGAGAGAGAGAGAGAGAGAGAGAGAGAGAGAGAAGAAGAGAAGAGAGAAGAGAGAGAAGAAAGAGAGAGAGAGAGGAGAGAGAAAGAGAGAGAGAGAGAAGAGAGAGAGAGAGAGAGAGAGAGAATCAGATGGCTGCAGACGACAGCACCCGTGTGTTGGAACCCTGGGGCGACAATTAATTGACCGAGTGAAACTGCCGGTCCCCGAGGATAAAACACAGAGACGACTCCGGTTGATTCTAATATGTTCTCTGTCTTAACTTTTCTCCTCTAAGCCATCATTAGTGTCCCAAACTCTCTGCCCTTGCCCGGTTACTTTGTCAAACCTGCGTTATCCGTCGCCAAATGGCTCCGGCAGGAAGTCGGAAGTTTGTCCTTGTTAGTCCTTAGTTGTGTTTCTGCAAACAGTGTTTTCAACTGTGAAATTTAAACATCTGTACCATGTGACTGCCTCTTGGAAATGACGGGAGGTGAATAAATATAAGGCATCAGAATATATACAAGCTCACGCTTGTGGTCTTTTCTTAGATGCCTTTAGATAAACTGCAGATTGTTAAAAATTGACTTTATGTTGTGTTACTGGTCCTCGAAAGTAGATAGTACCAAAACTCAGTAATGTGTGGAAGGTGTCTGTCTCTCTCAATACTTCCTGACTTCCCTACCCTGTCTGTGGCTCTCCAGCACCAAGCCCATTGGTTACTATTCAACACACACATTTAAAACCAGCTGACAAGTATAGGGTTTCATTATTTAAAAAGACTGACAGTGTATTTGTTAGGGACTATTTTTTTAGGTGGTGGATTTATCCACGTATGGTGCTCTAGGTAGTATTTGGTGCAGCAGGAACATGTATTTCAACCTAATTAACAAGGTGGACTCAAAACAAAACCAGAGTGGTTTGAGCCAATCAGCGTCCTCTGAGGAACTACAGCATGAGCTACAGGAGTGGTTTAATGCTCGGTGTGTATGACCACTGTGAGAATCACCTACCAAGTATTTTTTGAAAACACATGCCCTTTTCCAAAAAGGTTTCCAACAAAGACTTAGTTTGTTACACAGAAGCACCTGGTGCAGTCAGGTTACGTGTATTTGGGACTGAGTCTTGTTAGAAGGATCACTGTTCGTTTTGGTCTTTGGACTTGCTGACAAAAATAATATATAACATCGGCCGCTTTTTCCTTTAGCAAGTCATTCTATTTAAAAATGTCTCCTTAAAATTCAGACACTGACCTTTTAGTTGTTCTACAGACAACAGCTGACACTGGGTTCTTACCTTCACTGCATTAAAAACCCCTAAGAGGATGCGTCAGACAAAACCACTCTCAGTGCCTGGGGCTGTCTGACCTAAGTGTGACATTGACAGGTGCTCTGACTGTGTATAGCACCAAAAAGTTATTCAAGAACAATTTGCCAAGAAAACTAATGAGTCACAAGAGAGAATTGCATGCCAGGCCCGTATAGGAAAACATGAGCTTGCAACTGCAACAGAGGAAGTCAGAAGTTTTTTTGTTGGTGGAGTAACTTTTCAGTATTAGTAACATTTTTATTTGAGATCCTTTTCTTTTTATTCCTTCTGTTTTATTTGACTGGATATTGGTTTGGCTTTTCCTTCAGGTCTTTGTTTAATGTTTTAAGGAAAAACATTTATTGATTATGTAAGTACTGTAAGTGTGTCTATGGTAATGTCCCCCTTTTTCCCCCTTCCTCTCTTTCTTTGTGCCTTTTAAGTAATTGGAGCTAATTTACCTATTTAATATTGTTTGTTCATTAATTTGTAAGTATATATGTATATACGAGGTATATACTTATATTTCTATAATACTGGATATTTGCAAGCATGCATACATCAAGTTAATATATTTATTTATATTATTGTTGTTATAAAAAGTTGAATGTCTTTGTAGCTTCATCGTATTTAAACTCCTCTTTGCGTTTGAAGTAAATATTCCGCAACGTATTCATCTTCACTCTCATAATTTTCTTCAACAGAGAACCAGTTAAATATCACCCAAGGTAGAGTCACACACTGACACACTAACCTTTAGTGCCAAGCAGCGTGGGGGAGCTCTGCAGGAAGTCTCCGATCTTCTGCAGCGTTCCTTCCTTTCTGCTGCGGATGCTGCTCTGGGAGTCATGGTGACCCGCTGGGGAAGATCTCTGATCACAGACAACAGTGAACCCTGGTTAGCCTGCCAGCATTTACGGTGTAGTTTTCTAAAAAGTGGCTTACAGTACAGTATGCTGAAAACATCCCTGGTGAGGTAGTCCAATTTAACCAAAGTATCTAAACCCCTGATCATGAAGTGATAACCAAGAAATGAAACTTCTTTCGTTCTTCTTTCCCAAACTTGTAAACATCTATTAGTTTTTCAAAAACAACGGTACACCTTTGAACTACTGTACTTTGAGTTGTGCACGCATGCAGTTTTAAAAAGCAGAGGACATTTGTTTGTGTTCACCATAATAAATTTGACTGGAGCTACCATATATCTAAGCAATTAAAAGAAATGAAATATTATATTATGAAGCAAAATGACAGCCAAACCTACAAAAACCGATTACCTCATGAAAAGCAAATACCGCTATCACCTCTTTTGTAATTCATGAGGAATCAGGTTTGCAGTGACCTACTGTATGATCAATTATTATTCTCCGAGTGTAGGCTTCGCTACTCTAAGGTGTTAACTATGAATTATTTATGTTAATACACGTATGACATATCAGAGCACATGTTCATGGTTATGCATGCATCTTCCCCTCTGCATTTGTTTGTGTGTTTGGTGTGTGGTTGGCGTATGTGTTTATGGCTGGTTGTCACCTCCTCTTGGTGTGGGGTCAGCTTTGGCGTCAGTTTGGTTCTTGTGTTCCTTCTGTTCTCTGCCTCCACCTCTTCCTATTAACACACAGGGGAGAAACACACAAGCACATACAGAATGAAGACACACAAACA